AACAGATCATTTAACGACAAAAGTTCAGACGAAACAGAAAATAACGACCTAATAAACTTAATTCCAAAGATCAAATAAATCAGGGAGATACATATTAAACCTAAAATACCTCTGTTACCGCCGTATCCACCGCCACCTCTCCCACCATACCCTCCACCACTATCCCCGCGGTTCCCATACCCGCCGCCGCCGCCGCTGTTTCCTCCATATCCTCCACCACCACCATAACCGCCATATCCTCCACCATCTGAGCCGCCGTACCCGCCGCCGCCGCCGCCATATCCTCCTCCTCCTCCTCCTCGACCGCCCGGCGCACCGCCAGATCCGTCGCCTTCTTGACCGTACATGCCAGACATCTACTCTTCTACCTACTGACAAGTAAACTGGAAGCTCTGAGCTCAAAACTGAAGTGCTGCGCTCGATTCGATATGAGAAATTTTGAAAACCTCGTCAATGAAAAACTAGGGTTTGGGGCAAATTCTTTATGCGATGCGAAATGGATAAATGGTGCAGATATCCTTTGCAAACCCTTTTGATTAGAAGGAAAAATCCGCTGTGGTCGAGTGTATGACAAAACTTTTCTGCTAGCCAATCAGAATGAATCAACTTATGGTCCGAAATTTGATGGCCCGTTGTGTAGTTAGTGGGCCGATCATGAGGCTCACGCACATGCAAATTGATAGGACGACCAATATTTCAGCCCAGACCATATCGTACCCTATTACAACAAAGACTATTCCAAGAACCAAGATGATAAACAGCCCAACTATCAAAATAAAAAACAATTAGTAGTAGGAAAAATAATACACATATGTTAATTAAATAATTAATCTTAAACTAAAAAATATATATTATTAATATTTCTTAAATTAATGATTGTTATTGTTGCAGTAAAATTTAATACACATATGTTAATTAAAAAAATTTAACCTTAATTTTTTTGTTTAAAAAAATGTTTCATTTTGGATTTACTTATAATATTTCTTCAAATGTTGCCTCATTATTTTTATCTAAGATGTCATACTCACTCGTAACGCTCATTCATTTTATATTACATTAATTAATTTTATAAATCATATCATATAGTAGACTTGATGATACATTTATTAATAAAAATTTTAATATTTTCTAATTATGATTGATAGATAATGTTTTTTTTTTATTTTTTGGCAAATTTATATCTTCATTGTTGGTGTTGTGGCCCAAATGACATTTTATTGATGGCCCAATATCCTAACAATTTATGGCCTAATCTCTTTGGTCTGGCCCAGTTTGACAGCCCACTACTTAAATGACCTGTTGTCTAATGTTTATTCTCATAACATTAGCAGCCACTAGAGCAACCCTAAGAGTTAGAAAACTCCCACGCAGCCATCACTATCCTATCCTCTTTAACAAACTTGAGAAGTCTCAGG